GCCTCCCCCCCGAGCAGCTGGCTCCAGAGCAGCCCCAGCAGGGCTTCCTCGCCCGCTTCCTCGCCGACGACCAGAAGTGCCAGCTCATGCTCCTGAAGACGCTGCAGACCAATCCATATGTCAAACTTCTACTTGATGCCATGAAACGCTCTGGTTGTGCCGTTAACAGAGAAAGACACTTTTCTTGTGAAGACTGTAATGGGAATGTCAGTGGAGGCTTTGATGCGTCAGTGTCTCAGATTGTTTTGTGCCAGAATAATATCCGTAATCAGGCCCATATGAACAGAGTGGTCACCCACGAGCTCATTCATACGTTTGATCATTGTCGTGCTCATGTCGACTGGTTCACCAATGTCAGACATTTGGCCTGCTCAGAGATTCGAGCTGCTAACCTCAGTGGAGACTGCTCACTTGTGAATGAAATATTCAGGCTACGTTTTGGATTAAAACAACACCATCAGACTTGTGTCAGAGACAGAGCCATTCTTTCTATCCTGGCTGTTAGGAATGTCAGCAAAGAAGTAGCTGAAAAGGCTGTTGATGAAGTTTTTGAATCTTGTTTCAATGACCATGAACCTTTTGGAAGAATCCCACATAACAAGACATATGCAAAATATGCTCACAGAGACTTTCAAAACCGTCATCGGTATTACTCAAATATATGAAGGCAATGACATTTTATATTACAGAGCCTCAGTGATCATGAAGAAAATATGGTTCTCAGGTGCACAAATGTATAAAACATAAATGATCAATTAAATACAGATAAGACAGAAGATGCTGATCCTAGTATATTATCAGAAAATGTAACTCTGGTGAAAAATGAAACTGCCTTAAACTTCAAGGCAAAATTATATCTGTATAGCTAACCATTTGGTGAATAAGGAAAATCAATTACATTTTTGTATTTTCTACATTGTAAAAAAAAAAAAAAATGTAAGATTACCTAAAGCTCCCACAATGGGTACGATAGCAGAAGAGCAAGACATTGGAAACCTATTTGAAAAAATGATAGAAAACTTCCCTAACTTGGTGAAGAGCAGAGAGTCCCAAACAAAATGACCCCAAAGAGGCCCACATCAAGACACATCAGGATTAAAATGCAAAAGATTAAAGACAAAGAAAGAATCTTAAAAACAGCAAGAGAAAAGCAGTTAGTTACCTACAATGGAGCTCTCATAAGACTGTCAACTGATTTCTCAACAGAAACTATGCAAGCCAAAAGGGAATGGCAAGAAATATTCAAAGTGATGAAAAGCAGGGACCTACAGCCAAGATTACTCTACCCAGCAAAGCTATCATTTAGAATCAAAGGACAAATAAAGAGCTTCCCAGAAAAGAAAAAGCTAGAGAAGTTTACTACCATCAAACCAGTATTACATGAAATGTTAAAGGGTCTTTTTTAAAAAGAAGAGCAAGATAAAAAATTATAAACAATAAAATGGCAATAAATATATATATATAAATATATATCTATAAACAAATTAATCTTAAAAAAACAGATGATTACTTTAATATTTGATTAAGAAATCTGTGAAGTGGTACCCTTGTATAATGTTGATAGGAGACTACTGTTGGTATTTACATTAAGTGTAAAGAAAAATGTACTGATTTTATTTATAGGACATTTGTTGAGATATTATAATCAAAACATTTAATGAATGAAAGTTGGAAATAATTCATTCAATGATCAATGCCTACCCCGCTCTCTGCTCTTCTTTCAACATGTATGTGGAGACTATATAGTTCAGTTTTCTGAGGACAGTTTTTTTTTAATATGTTTTTATTGATTCTTTTTTCTTTCTTTTTTTTTAATTTTAAGGGAGAGAAGAAGGGAGAGGAATAGAGAGATAGAAACATTGATGAGAGAGAAACATTAATCGGCTGCCTCCTGCATGCACCCCACTGGGGATTGAGCCTACAACCAGGAATCGAACTGGTGACCTCTTGGTTCATGGGTTGTCGCTCAACTGCTGAGCCACACCAGCTGGGTGTTTTCTGGGGACAGTTTTGATTAGATTTTTTAATTTTTAATTTTTTAAAGAAAAGTTTATTGCCCTAACTGGTTTGGCTCAGTGGATAGAGCATTGGCCTGTGGACTGAAGGGTCCTGGGTTCAATTCTGGTCAAGGGCACACGTGTGGGTTGCGGGCTCAATCCCCAGTAGGGGATGTGCAGGAGGCAGCCGATCAATGATTCTCTCTCATCATTGATGTTTCTATCTCTCTCTCCCCCTTTCTTCCTCTCTGAAATCAATAAAAATATATTTAAAAAAGAGAATAGTTTATTGATTTTTAGAGAGAGAGGAAGGGAGAAGAGAGAAACATCCATGCGAGAGTGTAACATTGATCGGCTGCCTCCTGTGTGCTTCCCGCTAGGGATTGAGTCTGCAACCTGGGCATGTGGCCTGACCAAGAATCAAACCGGCAACCCTTCTGTGAATGGGATGATGCCCCACCAATTGAGTCACACTGCCAGGGCTTGCTTTATTTTTAGTAAAGGCCAGTACATTAAATTCACAATGCAATTTAAACATATTTATATATATTTAATCCTCACCTGCGGATATGTTTTTTATTGACTTTTTAGAGAGAGAGGAAGGGAGTGAGAGAGAGAGAGAGAAACATTGATGTGAGAGAGAAACATTGATCAGTTGCCTCCTGTATGAACTCCGACCGGGGATCAACCCACAACCTAGGTATGTGCCCTGACTGGAAATTGAACCCACAACCTTTTTGGTGTATGGAATGATGCTCCAAGCAACTGAGCCACTTGGCCAGGGCTAATTTTTATATATTTATAAGATTTTTCACATAATCATTCTTAAATATTTTGTTAAGCCCTGATCTGAGTTTTGAATTCAGAAAACATGGTCCTTTTATCTATCCCTCTTTTTTTTCTTTTTTAATCTGACCCTCTTTTTTTTAAAAAATATATTTTTATTGATTTTTTTACAGAGAGGAAGGGAGAGGGATAGAGAGTTAGAAACATCAATCAGCTGCCTCCTGCACACTCCCCACTGGGTATGTGCCCGCAACCAAGGTACATGCCCTTGACCGGAATCGAACCTGGGACCCTTGAGTCCGCAGGCCAATGCTCTATCCACTGAGCCAAACCGGTTAGGGCTAATCTGACCCTCTTAATTGGTAACTGCATCTTCTAGCTGTCTCAGCAAACATCTCTTGGCCTATGTCCAGACTGAAAGACATTGTGTGTATAGGTGGTTTATTAAAGGTTCAAACATAATGAAGTTAGCAGGATTCTTTCTTTTGAGTTAAAATTTGATTAAATATAAATTATAAAGTGATAACTCTAGCTTAATAACTTATTAAACATTAAAATATGGTTTGAAGATTCTTGGGAAGATGGTGGAATAGTAAGCAACAAATCTGTCTCCCCACCTAGATAAAATTATACTGACAGAATCTGTTTAATGTAAATATTTTGGACTTCTAGAGTCTACTGAAGGCTCGTAACTTTCAGGGGGAGGGTTGGGAGGTAAATTGAAGCTAATTTTGGCCATTTTCAGCTGTTAGCACAGTAGTAGTTACTCATCTCTCACTAGTGTGCCTTGTGGCAGGCAGCTATGCATGTTTTCCCAGAACAGCTTGTATACAGACTGTGGGAACCAGGCAAGAGGGGTGAGGGCAAAAAGCACCCTGTCCTCCATATATTTGGGATCTGCTCTGATTGCTCATTGCTGCTTCTTTTCACAGAGGTTCAGACAGAGAGATGGTGGCATTGTTACACTTCCTCCCATTTTTGCAAACTGCTTCTCATCTGTCTGAAATGACCTACAGGGTATTTAAAGTTCTGATGCCCCCCCTTTTTTTTTCTATTAATTTTTCTCTTTTCCCCCTTTTGGGAACCATACATTAAAGACTAGAACATTAAGAACAATGGCATATACAAGGGAAATTAGAAAGTCACTATGCATGCCTAGGGAAAGGTACAGGCTCAGAAAAGACCCAAGAAAACCTTAAGTTTATACTTTTAGGCAGATCCTTGGTACAGGGACAACAACAAAAATCTCCAAAAAAACAAAAACAACAACAAATAGCAAATGAACAACAACCTCCCCCCCACCCCCAAAACAACAGCAAACCCTGGGGAAGAGGGAGAATCTGGTTTTCAGAGTTATCTTATTAGATTCAAATGTTAAGTGTTCAGTCTTTCACATTGAGTATGATGTTTGGTGTGGGTTGTCCATATATGGTTTTTATTATGTTGAGGTAGTGTCCTTCTATTCCTAGTTTGTTGAATGCTTTTATCAAGAAAAGACGTTGAATTTTGTCAGACACTTTTTCTGCATCAATTGAGATGCTCATATGGCCTTTTCCTTCATTGCCAATGTGGTATATGATGATCATATGGCCTTTTCCTTCATTGCCAATGTGGTATATTACATTGATCAATTTCAGATGTTGAACCATCCTTTCACTCCAGGAATAAATTCCACTTGGTCATGGTGTGCAATTCTTTTAATATGCTGCTGAATTTGGTTTGCTAGTATTTTTTGAGGATTTTTTTAACAATGTTCATGAGAGATATTGGTCTGCAATTTTCTTTTCTTGTAGTACCTTTGTCTGGCTTTTGTATCAGAATAATTCTGGCCTCATAGAATGAGTTGGGGAGTGTATCTCCTCTTCAGTTTTTTCAATAAGTTTGAGAAGGGTTGGTATTATTCTTTAAATGTTTGGTAGAATTCACTGATGATGCTAGGAATTTTCTTTGTCAGATTTCTGGTTGCTGATCAAATCATCTTACTAATGATAGGTTAACCATATTTGTAATTCCTTATGGTTTGGTGTTGGTAGGTTTTGTGTTTCTAGGAACTTGTCCATTTCATCTAGGTGATCCAATTGTGGATATATAGTTATTCACAGTACTCTCCTTTGATCCTTTTTATTTTTGTTGGATCAGTAGTAATGTTCCCACTTTCATTTCTAATTTTTTTAAAAAATATATTTTATTGATTCTTTACAGAGAGGAAGGGAGAAGGAGAGAGAGTTAGAAACATCGATGAGAGAGAAACATCTATCAGCTGCCTCTTGCGCATCCCCCAATGGGGATGTGCCCGCAACCAAGGTACATGTCCTTGACCGGAATCGAACCTGGAACCCCTGAGTCCGCAGGCCTACGCTCTATCCACTGAGCCAAACCGGCTAGGGCTCATTTCTAATTTTAATGATTTGAGGTCTCTCTTTTTTTTTAGTCCATCTAGCTAAAGGTTTGTCCAGTTTGTTGATTTGTTCACAGAACCAATTTTTTGTTTAATTGATTTTCTATATTGTTTTTAAGTTCTGTTTTATTGGTTTCTGCTCTAATTTTTATTATTATTTTTTATTTCTGCTAGCTTTTGGTTTAATTTGCTCTTCTTTTTCTAGTTCCTTAAGTTGTAGAGTTCAGTTGCTGATTTGAGATCTTTCTTGTTTTTATTTATTTATTTATTTTACTGGGCATTTAGGGAAGGTCTTAGGGGTCTGATCAATAGAATATTCATCAGCTTTATGCTGATGTACCAAAATGAAATTTATTCTCAATTTGTCTGTCCTTGGGTGTGGTTGGCAAACAGCACTAACTGGATTTCTGTTATCTGTCTCCCTGAGTAGGGTGATTTCAGCTATTTGCCCTCTGGTTGGGGAGGAGAAGTACAAACCATTTACTCATAAGTCTCCTTGGTTTAGGGAAGATAGGATTTACTAGATGGCTGCAAACTGCTGTTTAACTCTCTGTCTTAGTTTCCCTATTCCGTTTGTCTTGGAATTTTTCTAGCTTCTTAGTATGCTATAATAATAATTCCAATATTACACTAACTCTTCCATATAACAAAAAAGGGACAGAGGACATTTCCTGTGTCAGTGGTCCCCCAAACCTGCCCACTAGGTTATTCACTAGGAAGATTCACATGACTCAGTATAGAATCATATTTATAGCTATAATTTATTATAGTGAATAGATACAAAATAGAAAATCAGGTACAAGTTTCCAAGCATCATACAAGGAATCACACAGGCATGCTTAATTTTTTCAGCAACTGAAAGCTGTGGGAAAATGCATAAAATTTTATCCATTAGGGAAACTCATTAGAGCCTCAGTGTCCAAAGTTTTATTGGGGGCTGGTGGTATCGGCACCATCTGCCTGGCACATGCCAGAATTCCAGACACCCAAAGGAAAGCAGCTGTTCAGAAGAAGCCAATCTAACAACAACAAAAAATGCTCTTCATGTGGAAAGTAGTAAGACTTCTGAAAAGCACCAAAGAAAATTGAAATACATGGAGATACATAGAGATTTATGAAACAAGACATATCATTAAAAAACAGAATAAATGTAATTTCAATCAAAATCCCAACACAGTGTTTCCTGGGAAGCTGATTTTAAATTTTTTATGGAAGAGACAAGATACTTTTGAAAAAGAAGAATAAAGTGACATGACTTGGCATATCAAAAATTAATTATAGGTGATGTGGTAACAGCCCAGGAAACAGGCAAACAGGTTCATGTCATAGAATAGCAAACACTAAAATAGACACATACAACTAAGGGAATTTATTATGTGGTAGAACCAACAGTATGGATCAAGTAGGACAGGTTACTACTTAATACACTGATTACATTAATCAGAGAAAAATACAACTGAGTCCCTCCACTCATGTCACGCTCAAAAATCAAGAGTTTGAGAACTTAAATATGAATGGCAAAATCTTAAAACTTTTGTTAAAATATACAAGAAATATCTTTATTACCTTGGCCAAAAAAAATCTACTTTTTAGGAATCTAGATGGATGGATGGGTAGACAGGTAAGTGGATAGATGACGATAGATAGATAGATAATAGAGAGAGATATAGACTAAGCTATAAAGAAAGCAAGAAATGGCATAATTTTCCAGATCATGTATTTTCTGAGGGAGAAGGGGATCAGGAAAAGACACATAGAAAACATCAGATACTTACGGATATTGATCTATTTTTTTTTCAAACATGTTTTATTTTTTTCCTCTCAAGAACATAAAAATTATGAAAGGGGATCTTAACAGGAAATTTAAAAAATGTAACACAATTTTTCCTTTTAGTAGTCCTTGGGTAGTTATGACAGAATAGGTTCCACTTTCTGTTTGTTTCTTTGAACAGGGATTTTGGTCCAAAGTTTTGTTTTTAATATCTGCTTCTGCCTCCCCCTCTATCAGATAGGCTTCCTCCACCGCCACCACCCCTGGGTGCTCTGCGGCTTGAACTGCTGTAGGAATCACGTGGAGGAGGGTACCCCCTTTCCATAGAAGGGGGAAGCCCTCTTTCTTGTCTGCCAACCCAATCACGACCACTTGAGTAGAGGTCACTTCGGCTGCTTGAGTAACTGTCTCGACTTCCACCATATCCGTCACAGAGCTGCTGTAATCATCATAGCGACTGCTTCCACCATAAGATGGCCCGTCACGTGTAATCATCATAGCGACTGCTTCCACCATAAGATGGCAGGGGCCCTCGTGTAGGTGGAGCACTACGTGAGTACGTGAGTTTGTCATATGAATCCCTGTAGGAACCACCACTTGGATGATCTGAATAGTCACGATCACGACCATAGCCATCTCTATCACTATAACCTCTTGATGGATAGTCATCATGTGAACTGGAATAACCATAATCACGATAAGTATAATCTCTTGGTGGTGAAGCATAATCTCTCGTATCACGGGAGCTTGGGTAATCTCTACTTGAGTAGCTGTCTTTAGTAGAATATCCATCATCTCTTGGGGACAAATAAACATCTCTATGGGAAGGCAGGGGTTCCCTTTGAGGTGGGCCTCCATAACGATCTCTTCCACCAGATACAGGAGCTCTTCCTCCCATTCCACTGCTGCTTCGAACTGGTCCTGAAGGAGCAGATCTTTTAGCAGGAGGACCCCCACTTCTCGGTGGTCCTCTTTTTACTGGAAGTGGTCCCCTGGAAGAACTCATGTTAAAATTCATGGAATAGCCACCATCATCCATGTGCCCTCCATGTGAGGGAGGTCCTCTGGTTCCTCCACTTCCTCCTCTTCCACCTCTAAGACCCCTTGGAGGGCTTCTGCTTCTTGGAGGTGGAGGTGGTCCACGCCTACCAGTTTCAAATGATGGTTTGGTGGCTTGTTCTACCTTGATGGCTTTTCCATCTAAGGACTTTCCATTCATATCTCTGGCTGCATCCTTAGCATCTGCTGGGCTTTCAAAGGTGACAAAAGCAAATCCTCTCGATTTGTTGGTTTCACGATCTTTCATCAAGAGTACTTCCACTATCCGTCCATATTTGCCAAATACAGCTTCAAGGGCTTTCTCATTTGTTTCTGTATTGAGGCCACCAATGAAGAGCTTTCCTGGGCGATCAGCTTCAACCATGTTTCCCTCCTGGTAAGAGTCGGAGGGGTGATGACGGTTTCAAGCTCCTATGAGCTCACTGACAGGGGCTTCCTAGCTGCTCAGCACAGGGAGGGCCACTGGCTCCGAAGACAGAAGAGAGAACCTGCAGGAACTACTGTGCCATATGTTGGGGTTCAACCCCAGCAGGTCCAGGGGTTCCTAAAGGTGTGGATGAAGTCAGTGAAGAAGGAATGACACAGACACAGCATTCAGTTGATCAGCAGCCTAGCCAGGTTCTCTAGCCAGGATCTCCAACCAAGTTCTGTGTCTATTGTCCTGTTACATCTGTATTTATACCAGTTGATTTTAATCCTATCCATTCTATTCCAAAGGTTAGGGCGTTTCTTATCTCCATTCCAAGGTTACTCTATTGTTCTATTAAGCTACAAGGAAGTAACTGAAGGAG